AAGAAGATGGCGGAAGAATTTCAACATAGCAGTTCCACCTGCTTGAACCAAGTAAAACGCCTGAAAGATAACGCCAAATAGAGCCATGAATTGGCTTTTTTGAGACATTTCATGAATTTTCAAAGAAGCAACTACAAAGGCGAGTATTTCTGTTAATTATTTGTAACACAATTTATGTATATTTCTTTTTTAAATGTATGCATACCGGAAGCAACCATGTCTTCAAAATCTTCAACACCGGCAACCTCAACTTTGCTCTCATCTTCAGACTCATTGCTTGAATCAGGATCATCATTGTCAGAAGCCAATGATGTTGTCTCGACATCAGACTCTTCGAATTAAAAAATCTCATCTTCTCTCAAAAAAGATACACTCTGTACGGTAGTTTTGGCTGATACAATAGAATAATTGTCTTCATATATAGTAAAACCAGACTATTAGCTATCTAAATTATGATTTATTAAAAAAAAAATTTATACTCACAATCAATCAATGTTTCAGAGACATCTACTATCTCAACGTCTGTCTCTTCTTTGACAACTTCTGTATTAACTGATAATTAACAAAAAAAAAATATTAGATTACAATTTATTCAGTAATGCGCGTACTACTCAAATGTCATTTACCTCAATTTTTTGGGCCAATGTCTAATAACTTATCAGCATTATTATGATGCTTAAAGGACTGTGCATTTTGCAAAATTCCGCCAATTGCATTTTTAGTACATGATGAACATGTACACATAACAGTGTAGGTTTTAGTTGTAGAATTCATAACAGTAAGAATAATATTAATAATAATAAAATAATAAAGAGGTATATACTATATTTTATTTTCATCTTTTATATATCTCTTATTTTTGTCATTAATAATGAGTTGATATATCTTGTTTACTATGTCATTAACTACATTGAGCTTACCGTCCCTATTAGCAAGAATTACAAATGGATTTTGATACAGCAATCTTTTCTTAAAAAAAGTGTGCCTGATTATTAATGGGGCTTCAATTTAATAATCACTGATATAATGGCGTAGTTTTTCTCTTTCGCGTTTTTTTAACATGATATCAATTCTCGCTCATTTTGGCAAGTGGCCTTTTTTGGATTTTCTTTTTCTTGTATTTTTTATGACATCAATTCTTGCTCTTTATTTCAATTTTTTTTGATATACTTTCTTATTAAAAATAAGTCATATATCATACATTATTATATTCTAATAAAAATTGGTATTTTTTGCGATGCAATAAAAATATTATTGAGTCTAAATTAGGTGCATCTGTAACAACAAGTTTTTCCTTCCAGAAAAATAATTAAATACTACATTTAACATTTAATATTTTATTTTTATTTTTTATTTTTCTGCCAAGTCAATCGAAACATATATTTTTTAAGACAATTGTGCGATTTATTGCCTAATTAATAAATATTTGTGTTTGTATCTGTGTTTATTTAATATAATCAGAAAAAATTGCAAATTCCCATCTCAAGAAAAAAATATATTGAGAAATGATGGTGTTTGAAATATTTTTCCAAATTTTGCCAAAATTCAAAAAATAAAATTCGACCGAATCCACCCTCCTTTTGCAGTGAAAGTACTGGAGACGATGCAGTTCAGACCAGCGAACATCATTTTCAACTTCAAGACGATGTCTCTCAGCTTCAGTGGTTGCATTCCTCCAGACCTCAGCATCCTTACAATTATCATTCTTAGTGCAAAGGAGCCACTTTGAGAAATCAAATCCAGAATAATCGACAGAGCTCATTCCAGCTAATCGGGAGAATTGGTGATTACATTTGTGGCATGCATTTGTACTGGTATGAGACATGAATTCACACACTTTTTGGGCAGCAGGGATGTCGCAGGCAACCATAAACAGAGCAGTGCAGATGGTGGTACCATTTGGGCATTGATATGTCTGGACTCTGACTCCCTTGTACAACTTTTCTAATTTGTTAACCAGAGGTCTGAGGTAGGAATTTATCTCGGATGTTTTTGCTTCTTTTGCACCTGGCATTAACCCAATGAGAATGACATTTTCTTTCTTGAATCTTACACTTCGAGGAAGATTGTTTACAGCCAGGTAAATTGCACCACACGAATATGTCACACCATCGAATGGCTGGAACCAGTCAATGTTTAAGGTCAACATCAGTGAGCAGTTGCCATGAACAAAGGGAATTCCATTGGTGTCTTTCAAATCCTTCCACATCAAGCCATTATACACATCAAACATATTATTCTCAGCCTTCGGACTATGGTTCCACGAGTCGATTTGGGTTTCAAAATCAGGCCAAGAAAAGAGAGCTTTGATCGAATTCTGAACAGAGTGATACATATATGTTCTTTTTGGAATGGATGACTGATTTACTGACTTGAACAAACTATTACCGCACATTGAGTTATTCCCAAATTTATCAAAGATACAGAAGCAAGATGTTAATTCATTGTTCTCATATATGCTGTGACATTCACTACAAGAAACGTATTTCTTTATACCATCTGTAAAGATATTGAATCCTGCCATGCTTTTGAGACCAGGGATGCTAACTGGGAGACGGAATGGATCTCTGAAAAGCTCGAGTATTTTGTTCATGATGGCAATGAGAAGAATGGCGCCTTCATCAATGACGTACAAGGATACAAATAGTGCAAGGACCTGTATGAAAAAAATGATGGATGAAACTCAATTCTGAGTTGAATTCAGAAAAGTTGTCTTTTTTAAAAAAAATTAATTTCTATTATTTTATACAGCAGAACCCAATATCCATTATGAAAGTGTGCAAACCTTCACTATCAAGCATGTTATCCTCACTGGAATCATCTTCAAAACTGTCAGAATCAAGATCAGAGTTAAACTCTTCATTCTCATAACCAAAGACAGCATTGGATTCTGAGAGAGGTAATACTTGAATAGGCTCTTGTGTCTCCATGTCTACTTCTATACTAGTGTCCATTTCTACCGGAACCATAAAAGAAGTTAGAGCAAATAAAAATAAAAATAAAAATATATATTTTTATCATCAAAGTCATAATCCATATCATAATCATTGTCTATGGCTACCGAATTCTGTTCATCATTGTTGATAACTTCAGGAACATAGCTTACAATAGTTTTGACTGATCTCTTAATAATCACTACATTACATATGTTATTAAATCGAAAATATAAATATAAATATAATTAAAACATAAAAGAAAGTTCCCTACATCTATTACAAAAGATGTTCATTCTAGCATCGTCTCTTCTTTTATGAAAGTTAAATGTCTGTACAAACACTGTATCTGATCCTCCAAATCTTGTCTTGCAAATAGCACTGGAAAAATAGGGTAATTTCATCTGGATCAAATGTACCAAAAATGTAGATGATTGAGCCGATATCATCACAATTTTTGTGATATATCATTTTGAGCAATGGTACGATATCATCTATGGTGCTGATGCGTATCATCATAACAACGGGTACACGAAAACCCAATGTAGAACGATTGTCAGTCCGCAAACTATGGAAACTGAATAAATATTGTAGTTACGCTTTACTCCTATCGAGTCTACCTCTTTATGTGTTATATTTTGAGGTCTATAAAGAGCTAGCGTCCCATATTATTATTTTTACTGGGTTTTTTTATTGGCTGCAGAAATGCTTTAAAAACTATCAAAGAGATGATTGTAGGTTTTTTACAATATAAAGAAATGATGATAGTTGGTTTTTTATACGTGCTCAAAGTGATGAAACTAGGTTTTTTATACACACAAAAGCAATGAAACTAGGTTTTTTTACAATGGAAAAGAGAAACAAAGCATGGGTAGATTTTTATAAACAAGCCTCTTTGGTTTGTTTATTTATTTTACTTTTATTTATTTATTTTTTGGAAAAACATTGGGTTATACATTTTTTGTTCAATTTTGTTTTATTTGATAGGAAAATCTTTTCTAGATAAAAATCCTAATTTCGCGACAGTTTTGATACTATAGCTATTATAATCGCTAATACTTCTTGCTCGCTATATATAATTTAAAGCCTTCCGGGAGTAGACATGGAATACATACTTTAATAGCGGGAATGCTATTAAAAAATGATTAATAGAAAAGAAGAATTAGTAAATGATTTAAATTGAAATTTCTTCATAAATACTTACAAGGCGGAGAAGACTTGACATAAAATTGATATAAACATGTTCTTCAGAATTATCAAGACAATACCAGTAGTCTTTGAATAGAGATACATTCTAAAAATGAATAATTATTAATATTGTGCGTAGTAAAGGCGTATTTATTAAATATATTGTAGTTAACTTACCAAATATTACTGATTATACGTCTTCGTGCATAATATTAGACATAACTAATAAATCATAATAAAAATAAATATATATCTATGAGGAAGACAAAAGAATAATTTGAATTTTTTTTAAGAAAAAAACTTACCATCATGTTCGATTAAGAGATGATGAGACTCAATGGAAATGAGTAGCAATGGCTAGACAAACAATATGATGAGTAACAAAGATCTGTAAGATAATGATATCTTACCTTGATATATCAGACAGAGTATAGCCAAACAAAGAGACACATATTTGGTATTGAGCTATAAAAGAAAGAAAAAATTATAAGTGAAATTGTAAAAACATAAGCAAAAGAGAAACAAAGAAAATATCAATAATAAATGTTGTTAAAAGAAAAAAAAAGGAAAAAAAAAAGACTTGTCTTAAAATCCAGTTTGACCCTGACAAAATGCGGGCTGTAAAAAGTAATACTCCAAAAGAAGATGACCACCGTCATCTTGAAATACTACTTTGTGCCTCATTGAGTTAGAAAAGAAGTTGTCTAAATGTGGATCAAGCGGTTGGGAGATGTGCTTAAATATCAAATGAAAGGTAGAGAGTTAATCTGCACCGCTTATCCTCTTTACTAGTATGTGAATTTTAAATATGATATAACAAGTGTAGTGAATTGTACAATATTAGTTGAAAATTATTAATATTTATTTTATTAACAGAAAATGACAAAGCGTATTCCTACTGCTCCCCGCCGACCCAACCTATGCATGAATGCTGTTCTTAATAGCACAATTGCAGGTGTTGTTGCTCCAATTGATACACCAACTCCAGAAGTAGCAGTTAACACAGCCCCTGAAGTTCAAGTCGCTGTGACCCCAATGGATCACGTCCTTACCTTGTTGGCAGCCAACAATGTGTCGATGCAATCCTTGCAAGAAAATGCAAAAGGAGTGACTGACGCAATAACTCATTTGAAGAATGGCCTGGATTTGTCCAACAAGACAAATGAATTTTTGAAGAACTCGGTCCTTCAGCTCATGACTGAAAATGCTGAAATAAAAAAGGCAATGACCAGCCAAAATTCCGTGATGCCTTCTGCTGTACCAGCGGATTCTTCTTCTTCCATGGATGATGATCTTGT